CGCTTCTTTAATGCGCATGGGATCAGTAGGATTGCTACTTGAAGTGTGTTTCTCGTTATCTAACGCGGGTAAATTCATAATTAACTATGGCTGGATTCATATGGCGCAAACAAAATTAGTTTTTCTTCTTCAATATGTTCACCCAAAGTATCTGTGTCGCCACCTTGTCTGAGTACAACTAGGGCCACTAATTTGTTTGATAGCAATAATTATGCTCACGACTCAAAAGAAAATATCTGCATGATGTTTCAAGATAGGAGGGAAAATATCCTCAAAAAGGTCCAGTTCTTCACCTGTCAAAGAGAAAATATCACAACCTCATCCTCCAAAAAATCTCGTACAAGCACAAAGCAGTCCATTCTCTATAAATAGCAAAGCACCCCTTCTCACATTTCACCAAATTAAAAGAGAAGAGAAACTAAACCCAAAAAAAAAAATGCAGGCTGCAAATTTGTGCTTCACAGGGCCACTGCCAGTCAAGAGCACCAAGTTTTTGGCGCAAAAGAGAGTTCCTACTCCCAGCAGAGCTCTATTCTCCTTCAAAGCTGTTGCAAACACTGCAACTGAGTCTTCTACTGTTGATTACAACACCTTGACTTCGTATGTTAATTATCTTCTTCTTTAGATAGTCAGTCCATTTCTTCAGTTAATTATTTATGTGTTCGTTAACCTTTTGCCCAGGGACAAACTTTTTCTAGGATTTTTTTTTTTCGTTTGCTTAACTAGGGATTTTTGGAAGGGATAACCCCATATTTGAGTAGTTTTACTTTTTCTTTTCCGTCTATGTCCTCTTTTTTTCCCCTCTGATCTGATACAATCGAAATCAAATTCAAATGAAACTTGTTTTAAGAACTCAAATTTGATGTCGCAGAGTGTTTCCTGTTGAAGCCTGCGACATAATTGGAGGAGATGCATGTATGGGTGTCATGTGTCCCGAGGCTAAGATATCATCATCACCAAATACCGGCAATGCACGGGCATCAGAGGAAGACGTAGAAAGAGAATATTTTGAGTACAGCCAGCAGCCGAAAACGTAAACTCTCTAATTTTACCAAAAGTAGAGTACATCTCTAGAGTTAGCCACTGAGATGTGAAGTTCTAACTTTCTTGCCTTGTTTTTTTTTTTTTTTTTAAATTAGGGTTTTCTGGAGAGGCTTGTGATGAACTTGGAGGAGAGTTTTGTGAAGCTGACTATCAGATGGGGGTCTACAGAGACATGGCCCTGGCTTAAACCAGCGCTCATTGTAAATGGATAGCACAGAAAAAATAATGGCATATTTGTAGTTGTGAGTATTTATCTCGAGATACCCCTATAATTAAGTAATAAAATCCTCGACTCGACGACTTCGACCATGAAACCTCAACTGCAATGTCATTAGTAGATCTTTACCATGTGGGAAATTTATTAAGATTTTGTTTTGATTCAGTAAAATAATGTGCGGATGACATATATAAAAGTACTACCTATCACTCGATCAAAAACAATTTCAACTACACACGCGAACTGCTGCTCCAGGCTAGTTCCAGTTTCTTTTTGAGCCCGCTGCTTGATATCTTGAAGTGGGAAGATAACACAAACATATAAGAACAACGTCTATCTAAGCACTTAAAAATTGAGACCCTTTCAGAACTTGCGCTCCTCTCGATTCGAACACAGTTATATATACATGTGTGTGTGTTATGACAAATCCTCAGGAATAGACTAATATCAAGTGCACAAAAACACAAAAAATATCAAGAACACAAATAGATATATGGTTTCGCTTGTAGCCTACATGACGACGAGGAGAATAATTTTCCTAACAATTTATGAGGAATACAACGTGGAGACCTCTCAATCACTCAATCTCTAATACACCCCAAAAGCCTAATATAACTCTCTCAAATAAAGTAACAAAAGAGAGAAAAATATCAAATAGACTTTAAAAGAGAACTCTCTATTCTTGAATGGTGCTCTGTAGATTGATATTGATAATTGGCTTGAAAGACTGTACATATATAGCTTGAAGATCTCAACTCCTTACTGCCCATAGAAAAGGAGCTCTAGTGGGACTATAATATGAATTGTTTATCCTTGTCAACAAAAGTATCTAAATTCATGTAATCATTCCACACTCCCACAACATCGAACTTCTATTGACTGCAACCACTGTTAAGAATATCAGATTGAGTATTTGAGACACAACACAACAAATCTCCACATCAGCTCAAATACATCAAATAATCCTTACTCTATAAAGTTAACTTACTTCACCTTCGCCAACATCCCTGCAGGGCATCAAGTGAGGCACATATCGATCAAGTCCAAGTTCGGCTTGAACTTGCCAACTGACAAAAAAGCCTCCTCAACAAATCGACTGAATTGTGCGCATAACGACTATCACTCTTAGTGAATTCATCACCTGAAGTAGCTACTGAATTGCTAACGAGCACAAAATTGTCAACTGATAATACATAAGATATTGTATCTTCATGGTGGTCGAATATCTGGCCTAGACAGATTTCTAGCAATAGTGTATTCTCGCTCTTCCTGCAGTTGCTGAGGTGCTTCGTCTACTTGAATGTGATCTGACCTGCTGAAGAACTGAATCATGAATTTTTAGCTCCACCTTCTGTCATGTAGTGCGCACATTATTTTCATCAACTGAAACTGTTGACCGTTTCTGGTGGAACATAGTAGAATCATTGAAAGTGACATCACATCTGATAATAAATTTTGAAGACTTCGGATCAGGCCACCATAACCTAAAACCCTTAATACCCGATGCATAATCTAGGAATATGCACTTTTTTGCTCGAGGCTCAAGTTTTCCTTGACTGATATGGAAATATGCGAGGCAACCAAATATTTTTAGATTACAATAATCCACAGGCTTACCGGACCAAACTTCCTCTGGAGTTTCACAACTGATACTAATAGGTCGCGACTAATTCACTAAGTAACAAGTCGTATTCATCACTTCCGCCTAGTACTTCTTGCGTAAACCTACATTGAATAGCATACAACGAGCTTTCTCCAAAAGAGTTTTGTTCATATGTTTTGCCACTCTATTCTGTTATAGCATGCGAGGGACTGTGTGATGTCTAACAATTTCCTCATTCTTGCAGAATTCATTAAATTCTCCTCTACAAAACTCAAAGACATTATCAGTGTTAAACCTCTTAATTAGCCTCTCAGTCTGTTTATCAATCAATGACTTTCACTACTTCATTAAATTCTCCTCTCAATCTGCTTCTCAATCAAAAGCTTTCACTACTTAAAGGTTACAAACTCCACATCTTTATGTCTCAAAGGTAGGTAGACCCGAACCTTCCTGGAGTAGTCATCGATGAAGGTCAATAAATAACTTGAACTTCTACCCTTCGAGGCAACTTGAGAAGGTCCCTAAAAATCTAAATGGATATAATCCAAAATGTCTTTAGTTTGATGCACTGTCATACTGAAGGTGACTCTTTTCTGCTTTTCGAAGATGCAAGGCTCGCAAAACCATAATTTTTCCATACTATGTCTATATAAAAGACCTTTCTTGCTCAACTCGACCAATCCGGGCTCTCTCATATGACCAAGCCTCATAGGCCATAATTTGGTAGTATCTCCTCCTGATATTGATGATGCAATTGTAGCTAAACCGGTACTAGTAGAACCCCACAAAACATACAAGCTACAGATGTTCTTTCCTATCATAACCACAAGAGAGCTTTTCGTAATCGTAAGAGCTCTACTTTCACCTGAATTGCATCCAAGACCAACAAGAGTGCCTAAATAGATGAAATTCTTCCTTAAACCTAGAACATACCTAATAACAGTCAAAGTCCTGATGATTCCATCATGCATTTTAATCCGAATTGTTCTTTTTTTAACAATCTTGTATGAGGTATTATTCTCTATAAGAACAACCCTACCATCAATAGCTATAAGAACAACCCCACCATCAATAGCTTCATAAGTAGCAAACCAATCCCAATTAGGACACATATGATAGGAATAACGCAAATTCAAAATCTAATCATCCAAGCTCATGTTGTTATCATCGATAACCAACAAAATCACACCTTCAGCGATGCCACCTTCAGCAGAGTCCTCCTCCTTTAGTTTCACTTCATACTATTCTTGCTTCTTCTTGTTCTTCAACCTATAAGAAGCAGTCTTGATGTATCCTTTCTTTTTCCAATATATGCAAGTCATATTCTTATGTTGCGACTTATTCTTGTTATCTCTAAAGCCTCATTCTTTCGATCTTCCTCGAACAAACAAGTTATCAGCTCTATAACTACTTTCACTTGTGCTGAACACTTTATCGATCTTCTCCTTATTCAACAAGTTCTCTTTGACATCCTTGATGCCAAAAGAATCTTGATCATAAATCATAGTATCCCTGAAGTGTTTGTGGGAAGGCAGCAAAGAACACAATAACAATAGGGCTTGATCTTCATCATACCAATCTTATTCAATGTAATCACATAATTAAATTCACCAATATGAGATTTGATAGGTGTACCTTTCAACACCAGAATTGTGTACAAACACTGTTTCAAGAGCAGTCGATTAGTGAGCGACTTCCTCAAATACAAATCCTTTAACTTAGACCATAAATTTGTAGTTATCTTCTCCATAAGAACTTCTTGCAAAGACTTCACTTGTCAAACATAACTGAATCGTTGTGAGAGCTTTATCATCTAAACTGTTCCCATCTTCCTCCGCTATGGTAGCTGATTTCTTCGACTTCCCAATAAAGCCTTATTCAATCCATTCTGTGTTAGCATGTCGATTATCCTAACTTGTCAAAGGCTAAAATTATTATCGCTGTCAAACTTCTCGATATCCCACTTTGTAGTGGTTGTCATCATCTTCTCATCTAATCGATAGCTGAGTGCTCTAATACCAATGTATTATGATAAATCCCCAAAAATAGACTAATATCAATCACACGAAAGCACGCAAAATGTCAAGAACACAAATAATTCACGGATATACATGATTCGGCTTGTAGCATACATCTAGAGGCGAATGAAGAATAGCTTTACTAACAATTTGTGAGAAATATAATACAGAGATCTCTCAATCACTCAAACTCTAATACACCCCAAAAGCTTAATACAATTATTTCAAATAAAGGAATAAAAGAGAGAAAAATATCAAATAGACTTCAAAAAGGAAATATCTGTTCTTAATTGGTACTCCGTAAATTGATATTGATAATTAGCTTGAAAGACTGTACATATATAGGCTTGAAGACCCCCATAGAATAGGAGTTCTAGTGGAAATATAAGCTCACATGTTCTAAAGCCTAATTAGAGTCCAAGCACATAATATGAATTTTTTATCCTTGTCAAAATAAGAATCTGAATTCATGTAATCATTCCACACTCCCACAAAACAACGACCACCTATTTGATGTTATTGTTCATTTTCTAACAATTATTTCCTTCAGTTTAGTTGAATTCTCCTGATCAGATCAATCAAAAAAAACATATAATATAATTGTATTCTAATCCACATTTTGTAGTTTGGTGGCCCTGCCGCAATAATCAATTGGTTGTAGCTAGGCCAAAGCACAAACGGATTTCGATAAGTTTGCTGGCTATGTTGAAGTAGGGATCATGGCAATTGGTGATATTTTATTTTGGTTAATGACTTTATCAAGGTTCATTTTGGTCCCTGTCATTGTAAGCTTGAGCAGAGCATTTTCACTTGTAACTCTGCATTATTAGCATTAGTACTACAAATAATATGAAACCTGGAGCAAAGTTATCCATGTTTTCCCTTATCACTGTGACGTTACACATGCTCATTAACAATGATCACATGATTCTCATTCCTAATGTATGCTTGTATATCAGTTTTATTCCATTTTAGTCTACAACGTGACAGGAGCATTGTATCTTCGTAATTTCCTAATATTTCTAGCATTATCACACTGATTGACATTGGACATAATAAGAATTCCTTATATTTTTTAAGGATAATATAACATTAAATAGACCTGTTGTCTCTTTTGTTTTCTATCAGTACTATCCAAGCTAGAGCAAGGTTTTATTTTGTAATGGTTCATTGACATCTGATACATCATATCATATATATTAATTTTAGTATTTATACATGCTACTACTTATAGTTACTTTCCACTTGATCTTGATTTCTTTTGCTAGTTTCCTAGGATTCTGTCACATATTGAGGGTCTCAGATTTTAGTACTCAACGCCATCTATCTGACTTCTAAAACTACAAGTACTTTCTTCTCAAGTCGTACAAATTCACTAAAATTTTAGCAACTCCTTTTCTAATGATTTGTTGTTTTATACCCTTTGCGGTCAATCATGATTTTCATATATAACACACACCAACTCCTTTTCTAATGATTTGTTGTTTTATACCATTTGCGGTCAATCATGATTTTTATATATAACACACACACACACACACACACACACACACATATATATATATATATATATATATATATATATATATA